TCATTACAGATGAAAATTGTTTTCTCCTTGTTGTTTTGTTTGGGATTTTAAGAGAGATTATTTAAATTTTTATCATTTGACATGGGAAGTTTACTATTTATGTAGACTTTGTGCAACCAAACTGAGAATCTTCTTTCTCTTAAAATCTCATTTGTCAAAAAACTTTTTAAGAAAATCTAATTTGTCCCATTACAAAACCTGGATTTCTTGTGTCAGGCATGGGATCAACGCTGGTAGCCACTGGTATTGAAGAGGTAAATTTAGGAGAATTACTTGAGCCAAAGAGCTTGAGGCTGTTCTGAGCAACATAATCTTCCATTTCAGAAAAAACTAAGTATAAATGCAGTTTCTCTTATGCCTCAGATTATGTTTAGAGAAACATAAATAGAAATAGTCAGATATTGATTAAAAGGATCAATGTTTAGAATCCTATTTTCAGACATCCCATTGGCTGATAACTTTTTTCAGTGATTTTTCTTCTATTCAGACACTCCATGAGTTCGTACTACGTATTTAATGTTCTTCACACACTGTGTGTCCTTTCATTCTGTGGTCACTCACTTCCTAACCTTCCCTACCTTTTCTGTTATAGTCCTGGAAAAACCTTGTTATCTCCACATACTCAACCTGCACCTGAGAGTACCTGTCTTACTAGTAGCTGGAGAATGCTTTGCATCTTCCTGAATATTTATCCCAAACATCTCCTATACGTTCTCCTTTATGTTTAGATCATTTGTCTTTTTTTAATGGCAATTGACAGAAGAGAGCCTTCAGTGATTAAACCTTTGTATCTGCAACTATACCATATTCGGCTCTGTTGTTTCTCTTACTATGGCTCCCCCTGTGGCTGGTCCTGGTACTCCGCTGTAAATTCACTCCCTCTTCACCTACTTCACAACTGCTCTTCAGATATTCAGATATTGTTTCTCAGCTTAGTTTTTCCCCTTTCATTATGTAATACTTATTATTATACTAATTTATTGTGAAAGCCCTCCTCTTTTATAAACCCTTTTGTCTGTGTAGGTTTCCAGAGAAACAGAACCATTAGAGATACATTTAAAAACAAATCTCCCTTTCCTCCTCTCTCTCTCTTTCCCACTCCTTCTTTTGCCTCTCCTCTTATTTTAGCAACTTGAATCAACACAACTGTAAAATGTGGCAAACTTAATCTGAAAGGCAAGCTAGCACGCTAGAAACTCAGGCAGGAGTTTTGCAGCTTTGACTCTGACATCTGTATGACATTCCCAAATGGGAAAGTTCTAATATTTTATTCTGCAGTCTTTAGATTTTTTTCCTCTGGAAAATGTGCTTTCCTCTTAGTCCTTTGTGGGTGAGTTCTACGCACCTTGCTGGAGGGGCAGCCTTCTCTTTCTTCAAGTCAACTGTCTTTTGTTTTGTTTTGTTTTTGGTTCAAGACTGGTGGTACCAGATACTTTTGCACCCAACCACGTGAGCCATGCCTCCAGCCCCAAGTCGTCTGATTTTATATGTTAATCATATGTTTAGAATACTTTGAAAAGTGCCTGGTGCCTGTGGCTCAGTCCTGTCATCCTAGCTACTCAGGAGGCTGAGATCTGAGGATTGCAGTTTGAAGCCTGCCTGGCCAGGAAAGTCAGGAAAAACCAAAAGTAGCACTCTGGCTCAAGTAGTAGACTGCTAGCCTTTAGAAAAATAATCTCAAGGACAGTGCCTAGGCCCCGAGTTCAAGCCCCAAGAATGGCATTATTAAAAAACAAAACAAAACAAAAAAACAGACCTTGACTGTAATGCCTGGATTGCTGTTTGATTAAAATAACTGGTCATGATATCGTAGCTAACTCATCACTTCTAAGATGAAGTAGCAGCCTTCCTTTGATTCCTCATGCTCCACAAGCTGTGATCACACCACTGTCTTTCTCTTCAAACAGAAATCTCAAAAGGTTTGTTTATATTGTCTCCCCTCTCTTCCTTCTAACTTTCCTTGAAGCTCCTCAATTGTCTCTTACCTCCCTGCTTCTGATGTGCATGCAGCAGGCTTATGGCCTAAATTAGTTGGCAGCTTCCATTTTCATCGTTCTTTTTCTGGAAAGACATAGCTGCTGCTTCTTTCTTGGAACTTTGTCTTTGCTTCTTTCTGGAAACAAGTCCTGGTGGACTATAGCCAAATTGTAAATATTGAATTATCTTGACAAATCTTCAGAGCTTTCCTTTTTTTTTTTTTCTTTTCACACGGTCTTTACCAAGGAAGTAAAATCCAGGTCTGTGGTTTTATAATTTTATGAAAAGAAAATGAGAAAGTGGAACTGTGGCTCAAGTTGTTGAGCACTAGTCTTGAGCAAAAAGGCTCAGGAACATTCCTCAGGCCCTAAGTTCAAGCCCCAAGACTGCCACAAAGAAAAGAAGAAAGGAGTTTGACATAGGTGACAATAGTAACATGACTTCATATTCATTATGTGAGTCATTACGTGGTGAAATACCTCTTTTCTATCCCTGGCTCTTAGCCACCAAATTCTCATCCCTGTGTGCTACCCAACTTGTGACTTCCCTTGAAGACACTTTATATATGAACTGTCTTCAGCAAGGAGTTGCTTTCAACTTTTTATGGTAATGAACTTACAGAAAACTTCTTGTTATCAACACCTATTTGCAAACTGCATTCTGAGCGGCGTTGTACTCAGACATCATCGATGTCTGATGTCACGATGTAGCTGACAGATGAAACGTAAACGTCAAAGTATTCACCTTGACAGAAGGAAAACACTTTAGAACCCATGTCACATATAAAGGCTGAATTAGTCAAGTCAAATTTTATAAGTAGTCTGTACAAGAAGTCAGTCCCTTTCAGTGGACTCAAAACATAATTTCCATTTCTCACCTAAAATGAAAGTTGATCCATAATACCTAGAAAGCAAGGTTTTAGCTGAAAATTTCCTGGAAATTTATAGAGCATTTTACATTTGTATTAGTTTTAGTATATTGATCATGTATCCTGACTGGGAAAAGAGGCTTGTTCCGTAAGCACAGTTGGCATGTGAGATACAACAGGACATGCGGCTGAAAGCAGACTTCACTAGATTCAGAAAAAGCCATTTAGATGGCTTATCTTCCAGTGGTGAATTCCAGACACTATTGATGTTAATTATAATGTTTTCCAATGCTATCTTTCAAGTCATTTTGCTTTTGAGATTGAGTTTAGACTGAACTACACAATATTAGGTATCACTCTGTGTATGCAAACAAGCTCTGATAAACTGTTGCTCTCCCTAGGGCAGTTTGGGAGCTAGTCTCCTTTCTTCTACAAATTATTATGTAATCAAATATTCAAATACTGACAAAACATGTATTAAGTTATATTTTAAAACACTTTCTGAATGTAACTTTTGGTTACTGTATTCCAAGGAAAACTTTTCTATTAAATGTATTTCTATATGTTTACTAATTAAATACATTTTTTTCAGGATTATATATTGTCATAAATTGTTTTAAGGGTCACAGAAATCACTGTTAAAATGGAGCTGGCCAAAATGTAGGTGGGGCTTCAGGATAACAATGTGTATGTGTGTGGGGGTGGGTAAGTAGGTAAACAATTCACTGTGTGCCTTATATAGATAATTAAAGGGAAATAGTAAAATGTATAATTAAAGAGAAATAGTGGAAATAGTGAAAAATGCACGTTTTTGTCTATATACATGCTTGAAATTAGCTTAGTCAGTTTTTCAGAAGCACTGAACAGTATTTCGTGGGTTTTTGTTCTTTGTTGGGCATGTCCTCGGGGCCTGAGCACTGTCTCTGAGCATTTTCATTCAAGGCTAGTGCTGTACCACTTTGAGCCACAGCGCCATTTCTGGTTTTCTGGTGGTTAATTGGTGATAAGAACCTCACACTTTTCTTTTTGGGACTGGCTTTGATCAGATCTCAGATCTCAGCCTCTTGAGTAGCTAGGATGACAGATGTGAGCCACCAGCACCTAGCTGAACACCTAGATGAACAGTATTTTGCCATAATTGAACATTGATATTTTTATATGAATAAGCCTGAAAGGACTAAAGGGGTAATTATTTACCAGCATAAAACCTTTTTATTTCTTTACCAATATTCCCCATACTCTATCTCAATAATGAAAATAAATATGAAAAAAAGCTTGAGGCTTATACATTCTTTTTGCTTAAATGATATAAACAGAAAAATAAGAGAAGGAAAAACTAGGAAAAAGCGAGAGAAGGAGTGACATTGTCCAAAAATAAATTTACCCATGGAAGTGGTGCTGTGGCTCAAAGTGGCAGAACATTAGCCCTGAGTGAAATAGTTCAGGGACTGTGTCCAGGCACTGAGTTCAAGCCCCACTACCAGAAAAAGAAAGAAAGAAAGAAATGTACTCCTTACCTGATTTACATAACTGTAATAGCTTTGTATATAATCCTTTCTATAATACAAATTTTAAAAAGGGAAAATAGAATTTACAAATGAACATTTAAAATATGTAAATGCCTGCTAGAGAATATATAAATAAATAAGTCTTAGAAATTCACAGAATACATTTTGATGAACATAATGAATTTTAGGGCCAGTGTACTTTACAGGAATTAGAAATTTACAGTTCATTCAAGTGAGAGGACTGTCTTTTGAGGGAAAGATAAAGAATTGACTGTAAATAGGGCAACTGTGATTCTTCTAAGTTAAATGCATTTGGGAGCATTTGTGTACACAGATTTGGTGGTCAGGTAGATGAGGCTTGGCGAGTCTGCCCTCACTAAAGAGTGTTTTTGAGGAGTGAAGAAAGGCAATGTTGAAGATGCTACTTAAAAATCTTTCCTAATAGTACTTAAGATGAGGCTGTTTTTAAGTGGGAAAGTGAAGAGTAAGAGGATACATTTATATATTGTCATTTAAAACTTTAAAATTATCCCTGCATTATAAAAGAAATGGTCCCCCCCCTTCATCCATTTGCTTTATGAATTTATGATCTCACAGACAATGATTTGTTTCAGAGATAAATGTTAAGATATCCCTTTATTTTGTAGCCATGAAGCTCATGACTGCTCTGGTGAACGTTGCCTTAAACCTCAGTATTCATCAGGATAATACCCAGAGACAGTACGAAGCTGAGAGAAATAAAATGATTGGGAAGAGAGCCAATGAAAGGTTGGAATTACTACTTCAGAAACGCAAAGAGGTAAGTAACTGATGGACTTCCAATTTGTAAATGTGTAAGAAATACACTTTGTTTTCCCTGTTAAAAATGTTTTAAATTTTCTTAACATTTTAAATTAGATTATTTCATTTATCTCAGCCCCTTTTTCCTTTTGTGCTACAAATCCAACTGAAAGTCTCATACATCCACCACCAAGCTTCACACTGAGGTCTTGTTTGCAGTTTTACAACAAAATTTTCATGTGTGTGTTCAAAGTGAATTTAAGCTGGGCGTCAGTGGCTCACACCTATAATCCTAGCTACTGAGGATTGCAGTTCCAAGCCAGCCTGGGCAAGAAAGTCCATGAAACGCTTTATCTCCAATGAACCACCAGAAAACTGGAAGTGGTGCTGTGGCTCAAATGGTAGAGCACTGGCCTTGAGCTGAATAACTGAGGGACAGCACCCAGGCCCAGAGTTCAAGCCCCACGACCAACCAAAAAAAAAAAAAAAGAAAGAAAGAAAGAGTGTTTTTAAATTGAGTCCTTTCGTAGGAGACATTGTTAATTTTTGGCCAGGGATGAGCTGTACTAGTTTCTGAATTTAGAATTTGCATTTGCCTGGCAGGCATTCTGCTTGAGCCAAGCCTCCGATCCAATAGGAAACATTTTTATTGATCTAATTGTGGAAAAATATTTTACTTTGTCGTATTATTTTACCTTTTAGTTGAAAAAAGAGTATCTTATTGCAGAGCGACTGCATACATGTATCCAAAAAACTTACCATTAAATCATTAGCTATATTATGTTAGTTCGATAAGACTATTGTATGCAAGGGCCACGTGGAGTTGGCTTCAAGGAAAGAAATGTATTATCTCACTCTGTGGAGGTGTGCTAGTCAGAATTTTCATCTTTGTGACAAAAGCCTGAGACAGGCAACTAAAGGCACAGTTACTTTCTCTTAATACATTGGTTTCAGAGTTTTAGTCCTAGCTCTGCTGGATGCATTGCTTGGGCTCAGGGGTGATGGTGAAGAGCATGCTGGGAGGAACATATGGCCAGACTGCACGCTTTTCACATCTTTCGGCTCGACTTTCCAGTCCTGACTCTCACTGCAAAAGCTAGGGAAAAGAAGCCAGCAATAATCAGGCAACAGTCTGAATTCTGGGCTGCCTTGAAAATTCCTCCTATGGATTCATCAGCCACCTTTAAATTCCACTTCCCACCTTTGCCAGAATGTCACACAAGGTACCTCTAGGTCAGTTGCCACCTGAAACCTACAAGGTGATAGTGAAAGAAAATGTATCACTGAATATTATTACACAGGAATCACAGGAAAAATTAGAAAAAGAAATCAAGCATTGAAGGTCATTTCGTCTCAAGTGATTTTATGGCTATAAACTCAGTTCTAACTATCAGCAACATTGCCTGAATTTTCATTTCCATAATAGTATTTGATGTTTTTGCTGCGTTCTACCACTAGTGGCCAGAATCCACTCTGTTGTCTCTTACGCTTGCATTTTGGGACGTTGACTACTTTTAATTATGGGTTACTTAAATGCAGCATAATGTTTACATCCTTTAGGTACAGGAGGAAGTTGCTTGTACAGTGACCAAACATCCAATCAAAGATAGTCCCTTAATCATCAAAGACAGAAATCATACCCTGAGCTCCTGGTTCAGAGAGCTGTCTAGAATTCAGACATATTCCCAAAAGTGGATGATACTTTGAAGATGAAAGCCTGACCACACTCAGTTACAAAATTCTTCCTTCTTAATCACTGTGTAGTTCGTGTCTAGAAAGTAATTGGTAGCAGAGAATAAGTTTCTCAAACCACTGGAGTATAGCTGTAGAAATAATGAAATATAATCTCAAACATCATTGCACAACGAGCAAAAGGAAGGATACTCACCAGAATGAGAAGGGTTGGGAGTTTAAAACTAACTGTTCATTACAAATAAAATAGTATTCCCATTAATATTTTTATTGGTTTTTTTCGTTTCAGCTACAAGAGAATCAGGATGAAATTGAAAATATGATGAACTCTATTTTTAAGGGTATATTTGTTCATAGATACCGGTAAGGATTTTTTTTTAATTATGTACAAGTTCTGTAACTTTAAAAAAAATACTTTTTTTTAGTCTAATCTATACACTTGAATTTCTAGTGATTCAGTATGAATTAATGAAGTCATTAAATTATTGTGGCCTTAGATAAAACTTTCACACTTGAAAATATTAAATGTCTTTCTTTTTGTCCTGTGGCCCTGTCTTGTTCCATGATCAACTGATACCATTTAAAATATTTTGATAGGGGCTGGGAAGGTGGCTCAAGTGGTAGAGCGCTAGCCTTGAGCTGAAGAGCTGAGGGACAGCGCCCAGGCCCAGAGTTCAGGCCCCACGACAGGACCCCAAAAAAAAATTAAAATATTTTGATAATAAAGAAAGGGTAGTGAAGGTTAGCTCTGCAAGTAAATCTGTAACGAAAGATGGCACACGGCAGTGTGGTCACTTGTTTGTTTTCACCTGGGATCCTGAGAGCACTAACTGTTGTCCAATTTTTCCTTATGTTCCATTGCAAATGGTTTAGTGTGTCTCTTGTCAGGAAATTTTTTTAATGTAATAAATTTTAAAAGGAACATTTAGAAAGGCAATTGTGGCTCACAACTGTAATCTTAGCTACTTTGGAAGCTAAGATCTGAGGATCATCATATGAATCCAGTCTAGACAGGAAAGTCCATGAGACTCTTTATTTCCAGTTTACTACCAAAAAAGCCAGAAGTGGAGCTGTGGCTCAAATGATAGAGCACTAGTCTTGAACATAAGAAGCTCAGGGACAGTGCCCAGGCCCCTGCATTCAAGTCCCAGGACCAGCACCAAAAATAAATAAATAAATAATCAATCATATATGTGTGTATATATGTATTTATATATAGTTGTGTAAATTATAAGTAAATACACTTAGCTAACACAAGCCTAGTTTTTAGTTACTTTTGAGAGTCCAGTTAATAACTTAAGGAGATTGTTAAAGCAGGGAAATAAATTTTGTCTATGGTAATGTATATACACAAATAATTTTGATATTTTATTTTAAAAGAACATTTTAATTCAAAGTATGAAAAGATGTTTTGAAACATGTCAAGAACATTGAATAGAGATTATTGGAGTTCTTCGTCTTCTTTCTTGCACAAATTATTCTTCTAATCCATTAATGCATTATTGACGTATATTTGGCAGAAAGAACTTAAGTATACCTGCACTGCAGTATTTATGAGGGCCAGTCAAATAATTTGAGTGAGTGTGTGTGTGTGTGTGTGTGTGTGTGTTTAAACCGCCATCATGAATATACTCACCATCTTTAAAAATTATTTTTCCAGTACTCAGTAATTCTTCCCTTTCTGTCACTCTCACCTCCTTTGGTCCCTTTTTACTAAGATAGAATTTTACTCCGAGAGCACTGCTTTAACTACTCCCTACCCTCCATCATTTTACATGCTGTGTTCCCTGAAATGCCCTCCTCAGTGCATGTTAATCATCTTTCTGTAAGCGATCTCTGAGCTCTCAGATTCTTATTTGTGGACTAATAAAGAACACAGTATGATGTTCAGTGATTCCTTGAGTTGTTCATTTTCTCCTTTGTCTGTTTTATTTCCCTCAAAAAAAAATGTTCTCTGTAGATAGACTCTTGGAAAATCTATTTTGTTTCCAGCCAAATCTTGCCAACAGAATTGTTTGAAATGTGAATTCATCTTATGCTGCAGTTCAGATTTTTGGCATTTGTAATTACTTCTTACTCCAGAGCTCTTGTGAGATTCCTGGTGCATGAGCAATAACAGGGCCAGTACCTACCCACATATTATCAAGCGTGTTTCTCCGCATTTATGTTGGCAGTCATTTAATTTATATTGTATCCTTTGTTAGGAGCATCACATTCTTGCCTCCATCCAGGCAATAAAAAACATGGAATTAAAATTCACTAGAGTTAAATTTCCCTTTTCTATAAGCAAAAAAAAAAAAAAAAGTGATTGTTAAAGAATGTAATCCAAATTTCCCATTTCTGTTTTCAGCTGTTCATTTCAAGGCCCTTATACTAAAATGGTATGCAAAATTAATCTGTCTTATGAATGTCTTTAATACCTTTCTTCTTGACTTAATGGCTCCCCCCCCTCAGTGTTTATCTTTCTTTGGGGAGTTTTAAAATGCTTTTTCTAGACATTACTCTCCTTCCTTCCTTCCTTCCTTCCTTCCTTCCTTCCTTCCTTCCTTCCTTCC